TATGAAGAAAGCCGTTACCAAACTAATGCCGGGGCTTTGTGACAGTGAAGTGGCAGAATGTGAGCTTTCAGAAACTGGGGGACACCCTTTGTCCCCCCAATCTCAGCCCCCCTGGTTCTAGTGCCCAGAAAATCACAGCAAATTAAACAAATAGGATTATCCCCCCAAAATGCTCTCACAGAGTCAATTAAAGGTACATTAGGGTCGGGATGTTTAATTCTGAGTCAGGGGTGACTGGCATTCACTCAGCAAATATGTACCAAGTACCTCCTGGGGTCAGGCACTGTTTAAATTGGAAGAAAGTGAGGAAACAGCAGACAAGTTTCTCCCCTCGTGAACCAGAGATTATAACAGAATATTTCATTTAAAAAATTAAGGTAATTAACGGCTTTTCAGTTGTGACAAAGGCTACAGAGGTCAGCCCGTGCGGGACCTACATTAGGATGCGGGGAGATAAATCCGGGTCAAAAGTTGATCTGGGTCAGCATTTGAGTATTCACCCCTCCCTGGGGCCAGTCACCCAGACACCCGGCCACGGGGCCCTGCAGGGAAGCGAGGGGAGGACTCCAGAGCACACGCACAAGGGCCACCGTCCCCAAGATCGCCTCTGCAGACTGGCTTCCCACTCATTCAAGGACTCTGGTCTCAGCCTGAGCGAACGAGTCTCTCTTCACCAGATGTGATTGTTCTCTGTCGTATAAGTAAGGTAAGATCTCAGGGGACGTGACATGGGGCCATCCCCACGGGCCCTGACCAGCCACAGCCAGGGACAGCGGGTCAGACCGACGTTGAGGCGTGATGATGCCCCGCACTCCGGCCTATCACGCAGACCACGTCTGCATCCGGAGGCTGCCCGCCACTGCCACCTGCCCGCGTCGGGACCCTGTAGGCACACAGTCAGTGGGAGAGTCACAGAAAAGCTCTGAGTTTTGTTCTGTGTATTGAGTCAACATTTTAAAATGTCAAGTTAAGTGAATTTAAGTTTTTAAAATTTAATTATTGAATGAAAACTGTTCCCTTCTTCTAAGTTGTTCAAAGCCGTCAGCTGCAGCAGCCACTGTCCCCATTAGAGTCCTCGTTTTGACCTATGGAAGCAGTGGGCAGTCCCCCAGGATCCCTCAGAGAGGTGATGACCTCGGGGGACCCCACCAACACATGCTCTGAGCCGTTAGCCAGTGTGCGGCATGCCTGAGTGCAGGGGGCAGCCTCCGGTCCCGTTCCTCGTCTCAGCCTGAGATGAACTCAGAGCCCCAGGCGGGTGCTTGGTGGCACCAGCAGGCCTCATCTGGGGCCCTTTGGCTGCAGGCCCACCCGTAGCTGGTGTTGCAAAGGACGCACCAAGGGACCAGCTGAACCGAAGGGAGAAGCGAAGAGCCTGGCACCGGCGAGCAAGGAGGCGGGGCCTCTCAGGGAGGTCGGGCACACCTCCCCCTGGCTTTGCCGTCAAACGGCCTTGTTCCGATCTTCCCGTCCCTTTGTGCATCCCTCCAGCCTTCACATCCTGGAAATCCGATTACTCAAGTTTGGGTCCTACGTGCATGCGTGTGGCGGGAGGGGTGGTACCGTGGACCGCAGGAGACGGCTGTCCCAGCAAAGGGCTGCTGAGCAAACAAACGTATGCCCAGCACACTGCTTCTCCGTGGCCAGCGCCTCATCCCGTTTACAGGAGGGTCAAGCCAGCCCCAGGCCTGCTAACAGGAGTTGTTCAGCCAACACAGTTATTATTTAATGAACTGTGGTGTGGAAATAAAATGTCACCTACAAGCTATGGCGCATTGAGCTTCTATGACCCCCACCAGCCAGCTTCCCACGGGCACGTTTACCACCATCGCACCAGAAGGGTGTGGAGTTGTTCAACGGGATTCACTTTCATCTCGAACTACCAGGAGGAAGTGACTCTTGCCGCCAAAGGAGATTTAACATCTCCTGACTCTGGGCCTCACCAGGAGAGCCCAGCGCCTGGGGTCAAGGAGCCCTGACATGGAGAGGTCAGAATCCCAGCACGAGCAGGCGATGCACTGACCGTTAAGGGCAGGTGGTGGGGGATGGGCATGGAGGTCAGCAGGACTTTATCCTCGAAGGCAGCTCTTTGAATGGTTATGGTCTAATGCTCAATACTCTGTGATCAGCAATTTGGAGTCTGAATCAGTCAATGAACCTCCTGGGATGGATCTGGTCCATATAGAACAAGGCAGAGTGAAAAGCCCCCAGGACCTGGAGAGGAATACCCCTGGACCAGAAGATCCCTCGAGGACAGAGAAGACAACCTGGAAGCTTGTACATAAACTCCATTTTTTTGACTTGAACAGATTGGCTTGGTTGCTCAACATTCTAACATCCGAGATTTTTCATTAACAAAAAAATGAAAGAAACAGGTGTCTGGGTGAACTTAGGAGGGGCAGCAAAGGCATCACTGTCCCATGGCGGCCCAGGGCTGCAGCTGCACGGAGGCCGCCCCCACTGGACGGCCCATGAGTCAGTTCTCCAGCCGGCCAGCCGCTGCTGTGTCCACTTATGGTGGCTGCGTGGCCCCCGCAGGGGCATAAGGTGGAGACCTCTGTGTTCAGGGACCATCACTGGCGGCTCAGGAATGAGGAAACGGGAGCCTCACCAACCAGTGTGTCGTGTGTGAGGTTGGCGTGTAAACAGAACGTGGCCCTCTGTGCTCTTTGCAACAGGCTGAGCAGGACAGTCCTCTCACACCCTGGTACTGGCGTTCAGAGACCTTCCCCCTGGTGGGTCCAATCTGATTATCCGAGTCAAGGGTGGGATTGTTGACGCTGGGTAAGTGGTACCCCACACACACCTTCAGTGCCCCACCTCTCCGCCTGGCAGGAGGGTGTTTCTTTGATACACTGCACGGAACAAAGCTCCCGAACATAAAGATGCACAGGCTGGTTGACGAGGCAGCCCTGGAACATCTGAGTTGTGTGTTCACTCGCAACAGCAGCACACTTCCATAGCCTGCGTTTCCCAGCGCAGCGCACGCTGGGAGCTCACCCTGCCGATAGCGCTCCCGGCAGATCACATGGTAGCAGTGCTTCAGAAATGGGTGCTGGGGGGTTCCTGGCTGGCGCCTAATGATGGGAAGGGGAAGTCAGGCACCTCACACCTGCGGTCCTGGGCCCAGCCCGCGGCTCTGCTGTGGAGTGTTGTCCAGAACCCGCACAGTCTGGCTCAGTCAGAGCGCAGCCTACTCCCTGACCTCTGGTCCTTGCATCCTCTCCCCTGGGATTCTCTGCCTGCTTCCCGTCTGGGCCTGGGCTCCTCCAAGCCAGCGTCCTTGCTGGAATCAATGCTGTATCTTTTAGTGCCCTCGCATAGGAGGTCTGCAGCGGAACTGAACTGGGCTGCCGGGGACCCTCTCAGGACAGTCACTTGCCCTGCCCGGGACCGTGAGCTCTGACTGTGGCATAAATGCACTGCAGTAAGTAACACTGCCATGCAGACAGAGGGAGTATGCCAGAAGCTCTTCTCCGCCAGCCTGTCAGGTGGGCCTGTCGGCTCTGCCTGGGTGAGCATGTGGGGCCGGGCTCCTCAGCCTCGGCATGACTGGCACCGTGGTCTGGGTGGCTTTTAGCCGTGGGCACGTCCTGCATGCTGGGGGACATGTAGTGCATCCTGGCTTCTACCCACTAGATACCAGTAGCGTTCTCCCAGTTAGGACAACCAAAAATGTCTCCAGACATCGCCAATGTGCCTGGGGAAAGGGCAGCATACAAAATAGTTGTGGCTGAGAACCACTGGCACAGAGGGAAGGGCCTTCGTGCCCAGACCTGCCAAAGCTGGCGGGAAGACAATTCCAAGGAGTGAAGCAGTGAGAACCAGATCTCCCAGATCCCTGAAATAACTTCTTCACCAGGGAAACCATCACAGTGGATCCGATACTGTTATGGCTTCACTCATTTTTATGCAAAAGTGCTTTCTTCTAAACCATGCCATCATAAGGTCAAAGATCAGAATGGCCAACACATGCAGGTCGTCCCCATACACCGTCCTGTTCCGTTGCGCCACGAGGGGCATCGTGCCTGACAGCCCCCTCACACCCGCAACAGGGTGTGCCTGCTGGGTCCCGTGTCTGCCTGAGTGATGGGGCTGCACAGAAGGGCATTCATGTAAAGGCGCATGTTTTGTAAACTGTAAAGTACCATACATATCTAAGGAACAATCACGATCACAACATCAAGGGTTCATCACTATGATATTTGGAGGAATTGGGGCATCTCAAATGGACAGAGGTCGGCATAGGTGTGTGCATGTGTGTTAAGAGGGTGTTGGAGTGGCATAGATTTGGAAGGTTAGTCAGTAGGCTGAAGTATTGGTAAAGAGTTATGTGAGCCCAGAATGGATGGATGGATGGATGGATGGATGAATGGATGGATGGGTGGGTGGATAGATAATGGATGGGCAGATATATGACAGACAGGTAGATGATAAATAGGTAAATAGATGAATAGTTAGACATGTACGTAACTGCTTTTATCCTTGTATCTCTCACCTTTCAAGTTCAGACAACCATGTCTTCACCTAGTCTATTTGTTAAAAAGGAATCCATCTCAGTCAGCCCAAGTGTCCATCAAGAGATGAATGGATAAAGAAGATGTGGTACATATACACAATGGAATATTATTCAGCCATTAAAAAAAGAAATCCTACCATTTGCAACAACATGGATGGCTCTAGGGGATATTATGCTCAGTGAAATAAACCAGGCAGAGAAAGACAAATACCAAAAGATTTTACTCCTCTGTGGAGTATAACAACAAAGCAAAACAGAAGGAACAAAACAGCAGCAGACTCAAATACTGAGAAGGGACTAGTGGTCACCAAGGGGGAGGAGGGGCATAAAGGGGCACAATATAGGTTGGTCACAAGGATGGTCGTGCAACAAGGAGAATACAGTTAATGATTCTGTAACATCTTACTACATTGATAGATAGTAACCGCACTAGAGGGGGTGAGGATTCAATAATATGGGTAACTGTTGAACCACTGCAATATATATTTGAAACCAACATAAGATTATCTATCAGTGATACTTAAAAAAAAAAAAAAAAAAGGAATCCATCTAAAAACGGTCCTTATAGGAAAAAAAATGAAGTATCTGTCTGCTGCCCCTGCAAAATGTCTACAATCTTGGCTCCCTTTTATAATAGAGCAGTTCAATACCACAAGCATGTATGGAATCCTGACTCACTGTATTACCCCAGCCGGCTTCCGGACCTCCTGAATGCAGAGAGAGCGTGTGGGGAGCCCACCTTCCCCCACCCCTGCCACCTGTCGGGCCAGATCACCCCATGTCTCAGGATGGGGTTCGTTCTTCTCCTGGGAAGCAGGTAGGGTTGACAGAATGTGGCTACTGTTTGTTTTTCTTAAGGAAATTACACCAAGCTCCTTGTGGCAGTGTCCCAGAAGAGACCACATATAGCCGTAAGGGAACAGAACAGGCGGTGTTTACACAGTGCCTGTTAAAAGTCCTCCCTCAGTGGGAAATTAGCCTGGCTGGCTTTCAATGTTGCCAATAAGAAGTGGGGAGAAACCTGCCCCAAATGACTTAAAGAGGCTGTAATGAGAGGTTCTCAAAATCAACACTGGGTGCTCCGCACAAGGCACTGGCTCTGCTCTCAAGGGGCCCCCAGCTTATAGGAGCATGTTTGTTTTTTAAAAATCACTTTAAATTCAATGTGATAAGGGCTAGATAGAGAAGGCGACCTTGTGAGTTGGCCCTGGAGGACTCGGACAGATTCCAGACAGGGGAGCAGGCACGGGAAGGCCCAGCGTCCAAGGTGGTGGGCAGTCCTGGAGAAGCACGTGGAAGGCACATTCCGGGGGGCCGGGGGGGTCCTTCACTGCCTTGCCCCCACTGCTGTTACATCTGTGGGATTCACTGAGATTCGTAACAGCCTCCACGCACAGGGGACTTCCTCGTGGCAGACACAGTTCAAGGTGGACTCACTGAAGCTTCCCAGCCCAGCAACCCTGTGGGGCTGGGGGTCAGCAAGGGAATAAAGATGTTCAGCTGGGCAGCGGCAGCAAGAACTCGATCCCAGGCCACTTGGTTTTCTAGCCCACCTCTCAGTCCGAGCAGTAAAGTGCAAACAGCCATACGTCCTTGGCAGCCTCTCCCGTTACAAAGGAGCCTACCTCCCAACTCTTAACCCTGGGCTGGCCACGTGATTCCCATGACGACGACACGTGATTGTGCGGGCACCACATGCGGTCGGCCAGCAGGAGGGCCAGCGAACCCCTCGTGCCATGCTAAGGCCATCACGTGAAGGAGCCTGAGCCAGCCTCTCGGAGGAGAGGCCACTTGTCGGAGAACTGAGGCGCCCGGCCATCTTCAGTCACCCCATGCCAGGCCATCTGCTAAGTGGCCTCCAGTGCACAAGAAAGCCCAGCAGAGACCAAACCAGCCCAGACCAGAATGACCACCCGGCCGGCCTGTAAGTAGCGGGCACTAAGATGGTCGCTGCTGTGAGCCACCGAGTTCTGGCTTGGTGGTAAGGCGGCAGAAGCTCATACACTCCGCTACCCCCCCGCTGTCCTCTAAATCAATCAGTCCTCCCCATGGCCTCCACGGCCTGCTGTCAGCTGGCTGCGAGCAACCTGCCCTCCAGTACAGGAGACACGGAGAACACAGAGAAGCCAAGGATATCATAAGAAAGTCACACAGGGGTTGGCAAACTGTAAGTGCCACAGGCTGTTTTTGTAAGTAAAGTTTTATCGGAACGCTCTCACTCATGCACATATTGCCTATGGCTGCTTCTGGGGCCACCATGCATGGCAACGCTGAGTAGCTGAGACCAGGTGGCCACAAAGCCTGAAATACTCACTGTGTGATCCCTTGTAGAGGAAGGTTGACAGCACTGCCCCAGACCTAATCCTGCAGCCCTGGGACAAGGGTTCCCCGGGTGTGGCCCGCAGAGCGGCAGAACCGACCGCTTAGCAATGCAGCTCTCGGGCCTCCTCACGTCTGCTTCGAACCAGCAGCGCCTCCTCCTAAGAAGCCCTCCAGGGGGCGCCGACGGCCGCTGCTTACAGAAAGCTGGCGTGACAGTCGATTCCCGGTTTAAACAGCATTTTCTTTCATTCTCACTCCCAGCCTTTCGGGTAGCAGTCATTGACCAAAAGCCTTATTTTACTAACGTAATCTGCCCTCAGCAAGATTTGAGACCAGCTCAGAGTCACTCAACAAAACACTTACAGTCCCCGGAGCCACGGTCGGGCCCGGTGGCTCGGGCCACGGTCGGCCACGGTGTTGCAGGTGCTCCATGGCTGCAGAGAAGGAAGTCAAACTGTAGAGAAAATGGAAGTTCTACAGCCAGGATCCTCCCCTGCGCCCAGTCGGCTTGCCCACCGCGCACGTGCAGTGCGTGCAGGCTCAGGCTGGGCACAGCCGTGGGCAATGGGCTGTGATGACTCTGCCCAAGGGGCTCCAGCCAGGGCCCTGCGGCTGCGGGGGCGGAGGGGCCTGGAGCCAACAGCCGGCTTGCTGCGCACCGACTTGCCTGAGGTGGGCAGGATTCTAGCGCTTGGCCTGCCACTTCAGGAATACAGCTGAGCATAAACCCTTTTACCCACAACATTCATTTTTCAGTTTCACTGAATCCTGAGTGAACTTGCCAGGGCTGAAGCCCTCAGGCCCGACACAAAGCTCCCCTGGACCCCTCCAGAATAATCATTTGCAGAAGGCATGCAAGATGTCTGAAGTGCTTCTATGGTACGAAGTCAGTCAGAACAAAACCGAGCCCTTTTGTTTGAGTAACACAATCTGAGCAAAATAACCAACTCACCCCAGTTGGTCTGGGCTTCCTGTTTTGATGTGGAAAGAGCTGCATCCCTGGAAACCCCTCGGTCCTGGGCAAACTGGACAGTTGTTGGTCCGTTTCTGTGTGGGATTTCAAAGGCCAGGCTTTCCTGAGAAAAGTCCAGTATGTGCTAGTCGTACAGCAACTGACCCGGTCAGTGAGCATTCACCGCGCTAAGCTCGGGTGTGGGGAAGGGCTGTCTGGTGGGACGCGGGCCCAGGGAGCCTGCAGTCAGTGGTCAGATAAGCACAAGGCGGTCACCACCCAGTGGGGAAGCCACTAGGAAACCAGACTGCCAACCCTACTGGTCAGAAAGAGAGATTCCCCAGCTCTGTGCTGCTGTCCCTACCCCCCGCACACTGCACCCCAAGATACAAACAGCCAAGGGAATCTATATTTCTGTTTCGTGCTATTTTATGATGGTGTTTTCTATGAGATATATGTATCGTGTATGTACATTTTAGAGATGACTACCTGTTTCAGTAACTAAGTTATAACCCCCCCACCCAGGTGCTGATATGGTCCACACCTCTGTGCACCCCTCCCACTGTGCCCCTTCCCAGAGACACCGTGCCCTGAAGCCTGTGTTCATAATCCTCATTTCCTTGACAGCATGACCACACCTGAATCGCTCCCTAAGGGTCATCTTTGGTTTTGCTGCTTTTGAAGTTTAGGCAAGTGAAATCATCACCCTGGACATTGCATCTTGCTTATTTTGTTCAGTTGTTGGCGATTTTCCCACACTGACACATGCAGTGATGGTTCATTTTTCACAGCTGCATGGTACTCCATATGTCACCATATGGATATATATATGTTCATTGGTGCCAAGGGATGTGTTTGCATGACAACACATGCCTGACAAACTGTCCCGTGACAAGGCAGACCCAGCTGGACCCAGGGGTGGTTCAGGGGAGGCTCAGACTTGCCATGTGCCCCTCAGAGCGCTCAGCCTCTCCTCGAAACAAATGTTGATCAATGATTTAAATAATGTGGCCCAAAGGGACATCAGCTTGTTCTCCTAGGATGCCACAGTTCTTGGTTTGGTCCACAGGGCATCACACTTACATATTTAAAATTCAGTATCCACTGGCCGGAGGAATACACGTCAGCGACACAAAACCTCCTGAAGAGACTGGCGTGAGGAGGCAGCCCCAGTCTTTTCCACCCAGGACTCCAGCTCCTGCACCCCAGGCATGCACACAGCACAGCCTGGGCATTACATACCTTCAAGGCAGCTTGATTTCCCGCGTGCCCTGGGGTCTCCTGGCAGCTGTTCACCAGACCACAGTTCCCGTGGGTCTGGCTCTCAAATCCAAGTTCCAGAAAAGAAATAGTTGCACATCTTCTTCCTTCTGAAGCAAAGCTGGTTTTTCAGCCTTTCAACTTACCCCTAACACAAAGCATAGTAGGTTGATGACATTAAAATATATTTTTTAAGTACAACAGTGAAAGGCAGAGGCAGTTTCAGTACATTTTCCCTTAACTAGAACCTAGTTCTGGGTCCTGAGATGGCACAAAGATGCAGTCTCTGTCCCATAGAGGGGAAGAGTCTGTCCGGTGGAGGGCCAATGCCCGTGGCCCATGGGCCCAACCCGGCCCTCGGTCTGTTTTAGTAAATAAAGTTTTATTGGAACATAGCCCTGCACATTTGTTACATGTCATCTGTGGCCACTTTCTCACTACCACGGCAGAGCTGAGGAGTTATGGCAGAGACCCTGTAGCCTGCAAAGCCTTAAATATTATTAGCTGGTCTTTTCAGAAAACGTTTGCCTGCTCCTGGCCGAGTGGGTCTCTGGAGACACAAACAATGAGCTATTTTTGGCCTGTGAAGTTTCCTATGTGGATTTGATTTTCCATCAATTCATTCATTCAAAAAAATTTTTGCAGACCTACTAAGTGCCACACATTGTTTCTGGCCAATGTTATTTCCCAACATATTCAAGCTTGCAGAGCTCTAGTTCTTTCAGGTTACACAATAGTCATGCCAGTTCCCAGCATTTTCCGCCCAAAACAGCCTCTCACTCACTTCTTTGGCTTCTGGCACGGAGGCCAGAGCCCACCATCCAGACCTCAGGCTCACCACTCCGGCACAGAGGTCCCCTGTCTGCTGACTGACATTCACCGGGGCTCCCGTCTCCACCTCCACCTGTGTCCCCTGGTCATGTTGGAGCCGAGGGCATCTCTGATGAGCCCAGCGGCCGACCAGTGCCAGCTCCGCCCGGTCATCCCAGTAGGCAGGGTGAGGGAAGAGCATACTGGCGAAGTCTGGGCAGGTCTCAGTCCTGTTGTGCAACCAAGCCCCTGCCCCACTGAGCCTTAGACCTTGGTCAGAGATTTCCCCACTTCTGGAAGGGTTACCTGGCCTGTGTCGCTGGTGAAAAGTACAAATGCTTGTGAAGTTCAAATACACATTTAGGAAAAAACGCCAACAGTTTCCTTTTCCAGGGGCCAAAAGCAGGCAAGTTGGAGCCTTCTTAGGAGAACCTGAGCTTAAATGCAGACTTACTGATCTGTGCATAGAAGCGTTTCACAGAGACTCAGGACTTTCTTAAGTGTCCTGCCAGGAGCCCTGATCTGGGGACCTGGGAGGGGTGCACACCCCCAAGGAGACGATCAGACTCCAGCCGACTTCAGAGCTGAACAGGGCCACCCAGGGAGTTGGGAATCCCCGCCCAGAAGGAAGTCTTCAATAGCTGGAGAAACAAGGTAAAGGCATCAAGAGGGAACATAAAGCCATCAATCATCCCACATACAGCCCTTGATCCAGCCCGGAAGCAGCCTTTCTCCTTTACCTCATGTTCCCTGCGAGGGGATACGGAACACGTGGGTCTGATTCTCAAGGGGGGTCACGTTTATTCAGCAACTTGTCCTGCTCAGTGACATTTTCTCTTCCTGCTTAAAAAAGACTCCAAAAGACCTCAATTCAAGCATCTAGGCCAAACAGAGCTACTGAAACAAAGAACTGGGAAAGCCACTGACAGGGCAGCCCTACCGACCTCCCCACCCTCCTTGCTGGGGACCAGAGCGTCCCGCACACCCAAGTTACCCAGTTAGCTGAAACCTCATAGACCCGCCGATGTGAACACACTCGCATCTCCCGAGGGAAACAACACCCCTGTGCCCCCCTGAGCAGGGTGCTGGGGTAAGGTTCCCTTCCCTTGGTAGCCTGAGGACATTATCATGCACAACTGTGCTGGGCTGTGACAGAGCAGGACCTCAGGGGCCTTGCGCATCAGCCCCAGCCCGATGGCCTCGCACGTCAGTCACTTCAGTTTTCATATTCACCTCTCTGCTTTGCTATATCCACTCTTAGGATAGTTAGGGAGCCTGTGACCCTCCAGGGATCTGTCCTGCCACAGGACAAATGCGACCCCAGCACCCAGCGCCACCTCCCTGAAGCCTTCATCTAGGATGGAGAAGCTGGCAGCTGGGGAGAGAGCTTAGCTATGGGGTACAGTCCCCCTCAGCCCTGGCAGGGAAGGCCATTCACTGGAGGAGGGCCCATGTGCCCAGCCCCCCTGGCACAGGACATCCCAGCACCTGAGCTGGAAGGAGGTGCCCATCAGGCATGGAAGGGAGCAGGGGTGGCTCAGGTGGAGATGCCGCTCAAACCCCATGGTGACAGGTGCTGTCCACAAAACAGGGGTAACTGGGGCTTCCGGAGCCTGGGCTTCCTTAGGGGCACTGAGGCGTTGTTCTGCCATGCCATGTGCCACGATGGGGAGTCAGTCATAACAGCCTTGCTTCCACATGTCAGGGACCCATTCCTGGTGCCGTCTCCGTGCACACCTGGAACGGCCCCCGGGATGCTGACCCACCACTGCGGACCAGGACCCAATGGGAATCCATTTTCCTCCAAATTTGCTGCTCTAAGAGCTAAAGGTTTGGAAACAGAATTCCATGTATAAGGAGACAGGAGGCTATAAACAAGAAGCTGGAGGAGACAGTGCCGGCTTGGTGGGGAAGCGGAGGGGTCTGGGGCCAGGGTGAGCGCCCTTCCAAGTCCTGCAGCCAGGAGGAGACGACCTGGGTTCCTCCCAGGCAGGTGGGACGGATCTTGAGCAGCAGACCCACCTCCCAGGGTGGGGGTGGGGGTGGGGAGTGAGTCAACGTGAGGAAAGATCTCAGAAGAGGGCCTGTCCTAAGGTCACTGCGCGAGGGCACTGTCACCGTCCACAGCGGTGGCTCCCCTGGTGTTGGTCTGCTCAGGGACTCTGTCCTGCTACACCCAGAGGGTCCCTCCCAAAGGCTGCTGTGGCAGCCGCCCAGCCCCACACTTTTTGCACAGCATCGCCTTCGCACCAGCTGGGACTCCCCACCCAGCCCCGGCCTCAGTCAGTCCATCTGGATGAGCGGCCTGGCTCTTTGCTTGCTCCATAAAAAGATGCAGGGTTCGGGTGACAGAGTGCATGTGTGGTAAGCGTGCAGCCTGCTGCCCCTGGGTGACCAGGTCAACAGATGAAGTATCTCGTGTCCCCGGAAGGTTCTGCCCTGACCCCTGGAGGTGGCCTCCCTGGCCTCTAGTGCAGTCGTCTTGCCTGTCCTTGGAACTCAGCCCCCTGGGCCCGGCTTCCTTCATTCAGCACTGTGCCCGGCAGGGCGGTGGGGCCACACTGGGCTCGTTGGATCCTCTCGGCTGTTCTGTGGACCCCCACGGAAGGCTCTGCCATTTACCCACTCTTCTGTTGATGGACATTCAGATTGTTTGCAATTTAATTTTGCAATTTATGAAAAATGCCACTGTGCGTGTCTTTCCATGAGCAGGAACGTTCTACCCCCGGACTGCAGCCCAGAGTCAGTGCCGGCTCCGAGGGCACAGGGACACTGGGCTCTAAGATGCTGCCCAGCTCGCTCTGCAAGGGGTTGCCATGGGGCACCCGTCACAGGTGGCGATGCTCACATGAGGGCCAGCTGCCCCTCATCTTCACCTGCAAGCAAGCCCCTCACCCTGAGTCTTTGCTTCCCGTGGAGGAGACCAGCTCTGCCAGCTCTGATTTGCGTTTTCCTGATGGCTAGTGACGTGGACCACATTTTCATGTGTGTATCGCTCACTGTGTTCAGCTCTCCTCATTTTTAAAAAGCAGCCTGCCAGTTGTCTTCCTGACGGTGGGTGAGTGTCCCCAGTGGCTTCCGGAGTGAACCCTCTGGTCGGGGGCATCGCTGCAGACATCCTCCCCCTCCTAGGGGGCTGCCTTTTCACTCGAAATGTTTTCTCTCAATAAAAAGAAATTCTTGATTCCATTGAAGTTGGATTTCTTTTCTGTTTTGTATGTGGTTAGAGTTTTCATTGTCTGGCTGAAGAAATCTCTGCCTACCCAAGTTATCTTATTTTTCTTAAAGATTTCACTGGTTTACATGTTACATCTCAGTTTTTTTGTATGACATGAATTGGAGTCAAAATTCACCTTTCTCCATTTGGGTATTCACATGATCCAAACCTCTGTATTTATTTTTTTTGCCCAAAACGTTTTAAATTGGAAAGAGCCTTGTTCCCCTCTGGAGTGTGAGGTGCTGTGTCACCCGACTGAGTGGCCCTATACGTGATCCAGCCCTTCATTATGTAGGTTCTTTAATTTCTTCAGAAACATTTTGTAGTTTTCTGTATACATCATGCCTTGCACTTTTTTTAAATTAAATTTTATTCTAAGTGTTTTGTGGTTCTGGATGCCTTAGTAAACGGCATTAAAAAACTATTTTCTGATTTTTTTTTTTTTGCTAGGATAGGAACACAATAGGTTTCTGCATATTGACCTGGTGCCCTGCAATCTGGCCGAATTCACTTGGTAGTTTTAGTAGCTGTTCCTAGACTCCTTTGGATTTCCTACATATCTAATTGTGTCAGGGGGTCCCTAAGACCACCCTCAGGCTCCAAGAAGCACCAGGAGGCTCCCAGGGCCAGCAGATAACAATCAAAGGACATAAAGCAAAATCAAGGTGCACTTTCCTATCCACACGCCATTTCTCCTTCTGTAGTTCATGCACTGGGAACCATCTAGGTGCCAGGCCAGAGGGCAGAAGCCAGCGGGAGCTACCACACACAAGCCCCTGGGAGCTGCTCCCCAGTGTGGTGACCAGGCCCCCACTCCTGCCTCCTCCTGCAACCCCACCCCCACCCTACTTCTAGCCCCTCTCCACTGCCCCTCTCCACTGGGTCTTGATCCAGCTGCCGCTGCCGCCCTGCTGTCCCTGGCCGGGGACCTCTCTTCCCGCCGAGCGGTGCTGACGTGGATCACCAAGGGACATGGTGGAGCATAACCCCAGGGCACAGCAGAAAGGACATCACGCTTTGCCTCAGGTCTCCGGGCTCGTCCACCCTGGGGGGCCGGCTGCCCTGTTGTGAGGGCACTCAGCCCTGTGGCGAGGTCCCCAGGCAGGAACCAAGGCCTCCCACCAACATCCAGCATCACTTCACCAAGCACAGGAGAAGCCCCTTGGAAGCAAATCCTCCTGCCCCGTCCAGCCTCCAGATGACGCAGCCCCGCCGACATCGTGACTGCGGCCTCGAGATGGGCCCTGAGCCAGAATGCCTCCCCCTCCCCACAAAGCTGTTCCTGAAACTGTGGCCTAATGTTTACTGTTGGTTTAAGTCATTCAACTTGGAGGAACTTTTAACAGCAGGAGGTAAAATGCAAGTATGCCCTTCAGGGGGTGACTTTATGCCCCACGAATGGGCTGCAATGGGCTGCAATCCGTGGCTGGGAAGCTCTTCATCTGGCCCCTCTCTGCATCTACTTTCCCACCATTTAAGCAGCAGTCACCGAGCGCCACCAGACCCCGATCTAGGGAGAGGTGGTGATGGGCACACTGGTGCCAGACGGTGCCAGACGGAGCCTGACTCCCAGCCCTGCAGCTTGTCAGCCGGGAGCCTTGGGCAAGTACCACTATTGATCTGTGCCTCAGTTTCCCCACCTATAAAATGAGGATGATAACAAAATGGGAATACATGGAAAGCAAAAATAATTGGAAATTTACCCTCTCTGAGCTCTAATTCCAGTGGGGGGACACAGATAAGCAAAATGCATTGGTAATTTATATTCTGACTTGCCTGTAAGTTCTAGGAATTAAGATAAGGCAGAAAGTCTTGGGAGGAGCTTTTCAGGAAGACATCACTTGAAGGTGATGTTTGAGCACAGTCTTGAAGGTCCTTCAGGGAGCCACATGGATGTCAAGGGGAAGGGGGTTCCAAGGCAGGGGAATGGTCATGCAAAGGCCCTGAGGTTGCAGAGTGCCTGGGGCCTTGGAGGACCAGCAGGGCAGCTGGCATGGCTTAGTCTATGTGTGCCCTTGAAATGACCTTGGCTTTTATTCTGTCACATGAGAAGCCCTTGGACAGTCCTGGGCAGGCCAGTGACACAATCTGACTCATGTTCTACCAGGACATGATGGGACAGTGAGGCAGGAGGCAAAAAGGCCAGGGTTGGGGCTGCTGTTGCAAAATCCAGGCCAGAGAGGTGCCAGTGGGGGGCCTGGTACTTAGCTGAGGCTACCTGGTTACCTGCCCCTCACTGAGAGCCCTCCTGGAGAACCCGTTTGACCAGGTGATCACGCTGACCCCAGCCCCTCCTGGATGACCAGGAGCTGGCTGATGTCTGCAGGTCTCTCTGCAGGCCACTGGTGAACAGCCAGATGCAGGGCTTTGCATTCCTAGAAGCCAAACCCAGCTCATCCCCGTCTCCCCTCATGGCGGCCTTCGCATGCAACACCGGGGCATGCTTTCTAAATGACTCCTAATAGATTTGAAAATTTGAATTCAGGAAGGAGCAGTGTGTG